TACTGATAATCTTGTGAGAGAGACTATGTCAATTACAATTTCATTCCACGTTTAAGAGAAAACCCTTACTTTGTTATAAGTTCACTTTGAAAATTCAGACGGTGACATGGAGACTAAGAAATAAAACCTTTATCATAAAGTTTCAAGAAATATAAGGAATATAAATACAATAAACTTGCAGTAGGTATCCAACCAAACTTTTATTGGGGTTTTATTGCAATCTACTTTCAGTAATAAGGGGAAAGTAACCAAGAACTCTGATCATATTTTATTTAACAAAACAGTTTCTCACGAATGCTTAAGGTAAGCATTATCGTCAGCTCAGTTTCCAGTATCAACTTGAGTACTTCATTATGGAAATTTATGCCAGAATGACAATAGTAAGGCATTGCAAGATTCTAAATCATCTAAGATTAACTGTAATTTACAGATTATAATTTTTAGGGCAATAAAGTATACTAATATTCTATAATAAATAAGGATTTTAAAAAATGTGTTGCTTAGCCCTTGTTTAACTAAATTCAATTATTAGCTTACTCTTTAAGTACTCCAGTTAATAAAGGTTTGATTGTACTTCAAGAACTCTGACTTTTCCAAAGATAATAAAATTACTTATTTGTTATGACAAAAATTAAGCTGAAAAGCACATTCGCACTTGTCCTTAAAAGCATGTTTACATCATATATGAGATTACCTCTGGAGACACGGCTAATCTGGAAAAAAAGAGATATATGCAAAGAACAACTAGAGGGCAATCTTCCTATCCCCACTTCCTCCAAAAAGCCACACTTGGCCTCAGCGTAAAAGTTTTATTTTATTGCCATGCTACAAAATGTATGAAGTTGGCACTGGTAGGGAGAAATGAGAACAAAGAGTGGAAAGGGATAGAGGGCAAACGATGTTGTTACATATACAACAAGGTTTTATTTTAATTAACAGTGGTAAATTTTGCCAATATAAAAAATGCAAACCAAAATTTAAAATGCTGATATGAAACAGCATTAAAAATACAACTTATGCATAGTACAGCATCACATCTTTTACTAGAGAAATATGGAATGTTTATAAAAGAAATTAATCATGGGGGTAAAATTCATATACAATTTGGCAATGGTAGTCCCACTGTTAGACAACTCTTTATAAAAGAAAAATTAAAAATCTTATAAGCTACCTTTATACAAAGTTGCTAAATTTATGCCTTTATGTAGGAAAAAAAACCCTTAACATTTATAATGCAGATTAGGACATACAATAATTTTACAATAATATACAATGTACTGAAAATAAAAACACAACACAAAATTTGTCTTTTATAAAAGTATATTTTGCATTTACTAATGCAAATGTGGCACACTGGTGACTACTGTACTATTAATACCAGTCTGTTTCCATCTATAATTATCCAATTGTCATAGAATTGTAACTGTCATGATGCTACAAAAGAATTGTGTTATACCCCCCAAAAATGAGGAAGTAGGGATGGGGAAAAGGGAAGGAAAGAACAGGGAAGATTGAGAGGGTGCTGGTTCAGGCAGAATATACTGTGGTATGTCGTAAAAGATTTGTTAATTTTTCAAGCCAAAAACATATCTATACATTCTGTATTTTGTACCAATGCCTTTATTCAAATTTGGCAAACATCAGGGAAAAGATAATTAGTACCATATACCTCACATATCAGAAATATGAATGAGATGGCAATACATCAGCTATTTCTGTATGATGTCTCTGATGGTAGGTCTATTTCAAGGAGATATATACACACACACATACACATGTATATACATATATATACACATACATGTACATACTATACATACACACTACACATTGCACAAAACACTAGGGCATTATGGGTATTTAGAATGGACAGTATAGGGGAAAGCAGGAAGTACTTTTTAGCTTGTAAAAATCTTTACCTTGAGGCAAAATATGGTGGCACATTGCTGGGAATTTATTAAAACATAAGGCCCCTGTCCCATTTTTAATAGAACATTATTGAGGTACATTTTTATATGCTTTGCCACAGGGTTGCTTGTTTTTTTTTGGGGTGGGGGTGGTATGACAAACATACACTAACTTGACTTACTCTTATATTGAACTGTGGGTTCAACAATACTATCTATAAAAACAAAGACTGCTTGGCAAATTTTCCTAAGTCCCAAATGTGATCTATTCTGGATATACTGGGAAGTGAAAAGCTTTTTGCTTAGTCTTCAAGAGTAAAGTGCGTATCTCATCACTCCGCAGCAGCAGTAAATAAAGGGAACAATTTGCCAATCTTCTTGGGGGAAAGGAAGGCACCATATTTTCATTTTAAAGGAAGATGAAACTGTGATATATGATACTAACAAAAAACACAGGAAACACCCACATCTGCTTTCAACCTTGGTCTGGGATAGATGCCATCATGATCTACACTGACAGAAGAGGATTCCACTTGGGGAAAGCATGAACAATGATTGTATTTCCAGAACCAAACAGTGGAATCACACAGTTTCTTAAGAGTATAGAATATCCAAAACTAGGTTTGTCTCAGAAAACCTGAGACATAATGGCTACAATTAATTATATGCCAACAAAATATCTCACTCTAAAATGTGCCTAGTAATAGGAACATTCTTCCAGGAAAGAGCTTAATGCCCAGTACTAGACTACTTCAAGGGACAAATAGTGTTTCTAAATTACTTTTTATTAAATAGGAACACAGGTGACTTCCAGAAGACATCTAGAAATGAACACCAATTGTATGTATCTTCCTAATATGCATACAGTACCTAAAATCAAATTCTTAGCAGACAGATTGGTCCCATTTTCATTTTTAAAGCACATAGTATTTAAAGCATAAACTATAATGATTACATTGGAGTTACTAAAAAAATATAAAAACTAATTAAAAGCTGGAGGAAAAGATAAAAAGGAGAAGAGAAAGAAAGATAAGGGGAAAAAAAAAGTATCCAACCCCCAAAGTGAATAAATAGATCAGCCCTTTCATTTGGAGGTTAGTGTTCTGTCTTGACTGCCTGTTCTCAAAAACCATGTGCACTCATTCCATTGTAATTCTTATTCCACATTACAAAACCATCACATAAATTTGGCACAATTAGCAATCTACTCAGATGAAAGCACAAATGGAACAATATATTAAAAATGGAAACTCCACACCTATACCACTGATCTCTTTTTTAAAGAACAGCAAACTCTTTAGTAAGCACCAAGGTCACAGGAAAAAAAAAAAAAAAGAAAATCTGCTATGCACATAAACCAATGGCACTGAAAATGATGAAGACACCTTTAATAATTTATTTTCTTTATAATAGTACCACTCTATTGTTCTGCTAATCCACTATTGTATATGTTGGATGCTATTTGAAACTTTTTCTTGCTAAATTATCCTTAGTTATATCTGGTAGATCCAGATCATAATCTCATACTTCCTCATATTTAGAGAAAACAGTAAAATATTTTCTTCTCTCCACTCAACTTTCTCTTATATTCTCTAGTGTTTGGGAGACATTCTTGGTATTTCAAGAATTTCACATATGGACTCTCATCAGTTCATATAAACTTCAATTCATTCTAAATCCTTAAGTATGACACAGTCTCATTGTTACAAGACTTTCACTGTACCTGCTATGCTGGCAACAATATTAATATTCTACTGAAATCAAGAAGTAATCAAAGATCCAGCTATGAGTGAAAACACAGCAGAGCCGAGGAACACTACAGTGGGCAGAGTACAACTGCAGCCATGTAACTGAGTGAATCACTGCTAAAGTGCTGGGGAGCGTGCCCACAGAGAACACACAGTACCTTTAGAGAACTTTGTGTTAAAAGTACCTTTCTTTTTTTTCTCAGCTGCTAAAGAGATCACCTATGGACACATGTGAAATTAAAAATTGAGAAAATGTTTTATCAACTTGAAAAGTAAACAGCATATAAATAAATACTGGACAAGGGCAACCCTGTTATAGAATAACAGTAAGTTCCAAATGAACCTTCAAAATCATCATTTGACAAAAATGCAAACCAAACAACAATGAACATATAATCCAATCTCAAAACTATGTACAAACTCAGACATTTTAAATTGAAAAAGACATTAAGTAACACAGTAAGACATCCCAAACACCAAAGGAAAAAACTGAAGGTAAATGGAAACCTAATGGCAAAAATACCTCCTCCAGAAAACAATGCCAATGTTAATAAGCTAAGAGAGGAATTTTCAAGAGATCATGGTTCATATTTTCGAATGTTTTTGGGTAAAGTGACCTGAGACTAATTTTTGAGCCAATTATGATTTTGATTAAGATATGTGGGCATGCCCTTCAAATGCCATCATGAGATGAGTAAACAGAAAATGTTTTCTCCTTTTTGCCTTTCTAACACACCAACAGCAAACCATGATCATGGACATAGGATTCTTTCTAAAAACACTGAAGGCCAAGGAGCTGACTGGCATATAAGGAGGTGTGGTACTTGTATTTCCTTTACCTATGTTTTGGCTCAAGTCAAAAAGCCGTTAAGCAAGGAAATAAAGGATTCCTCACGTTACATGCTGGAAGCCACACGCTGTGACTGGTGAATCTACAGATATTACTTTCAAAGCCTAGAGTTACCTGTTAGCAATGCACTTTATCAGGAGGCTTTATAAAATGTTTTAAATGCCAACCATGACTTAGACATGAATAATATGCATAAGTCCAGAATATTGATAAAAAGCAACCAGCATGTCACTCACTTCAACTTTCATTTTAAATAGGCACTGTGAAAATGGGAATGCTGCTGTACAATAATGAGTAGTATATAATGAAATTAGTGTTCTTTAATGAGTACCTGCTCTACATTAATTCCCTTTTGTTAAAGAAGCACATGAAATATTCAGAAAAATTTTTTATCAGTCTATAAAAGGAGTTAGTGTTTAGAAATGAAAATGAAGCACTTGCATCTTCATTTTTAAAAACTTCACAAAGGTGCAAACAATAAAATGCTTTCCAGGTTCACATGGGCAGATCAGTACTATTATGTCTAGTTTTCCTAGATGTACCATCATCTCGTGGCAGTGCTTTCTGCAAATTTGACATAGCAGCAGTTCTCTCGATGTCTATCACAGCATACAACTCTGTGCGCCTGGTAGGGGTTTGTGGAAGGGGAGTGGTAGGTGTTTTTGGAGTCTGAGGGTTGTCGGAGTCACTGCCACCTTCCAAGTCAACCTGTATGTAATTGAGCTGCCTGTGTTCTAAACTTGGGCGTCTGATATCAAAGTTAAAGACTGTCGGTGTACAGTCCCGACGCCTTGAATATTCTATTTTGTGAGCACTTGCTGGCACTGTTACATTCTCTGTATTTACATAGTTATGCATTGGATCTAGATTATTATGGTAGCCATTTAGAGATGGAGTCTTTGGTCCCAAAGTGTCATCTTCATCCCTACTTAGTTTGCGGGCTTCCCAAACAGGAGGCAAAGATGGTAAATTTTCATAGTTTAATAATGCAGTTCTCCTCTGAGCTGAGTTGTTGATGTTCTGGGTATCTGAGGTACTGGTGGATGTCAGACGACCTCTCCTGACCCCTGAGGCACTAGGGATAGATAGCCCATTTATATTTTCATACACTAGTTTATTAACAGAGGGTGTATCTCTTCGTTCATCACTGTCGTATCCAGTGTCCCATTCTGTGTTATTTGCTCCACTTCCACTAACTTGATCTCTTCCAAGTTGCTCTAGTTTCTCTTTTTCCATTAATTGTTTTTGCACAGGAGTTGGTCCTAAAACAAATTTGACTCCTTCGGGCTCAAGAAGAATCTGAGGGTCCCTGTCCTCAATACTACTTGCTTCCTCTTTTGGCGTGTTGCTTTCAGCATTAGAAACTCTTGCCTCCAATGGGACGTGCACACTTGCTCGGTTTTTCCGCTCTTCTTGCATACCTGTAGTGTTGACATAAGTATGTACCTGAAAAGAAACAAGAAAGGGAATCAATAACTTGCTTAAAAAATGACAAAAAACACCTGACCACACCAGTTAATTTTATTGATTAACTTTCTAAATGCACTCCTACTTCAAAAGCTTTTATACCTGTTTTGATTTTTTAAAAACTAATTTTAAAAAGTGTATGTGTGTGTAGAAATGTCTTCCTAACTTAGTGAAAGAATATAACTACTTTAAAATAACATGCAGCATTATACTTGATGGTGAAACATATGAAACAGTCTGTTAAAAAAATAAACCAAGGAACAAAATAAGGATTATCATTTTGATAATGTCCTAGAAATTCTCACCAAACTATTTGTAATGGACTGAATTGTGTCCCCCAAAATATGTGTTGTAAATCCTAATCCCTAGGTTGGGCAATCTACTTCCCTAGTGTTACTGCTTCGGAAACCCAAGGAGGGGTTTCTATGAGTCGGTTCGACTCAAGGACACATAACAACAACATACTTGTGGATGTAATTCTGTTTGGGAACAATTTTCTTTTTTTATGTTAATGAGGCCTATCAGTATAGGATATGTCTTAAACCGATCATTTTTATTTTAAATTGTGATTTGGGTGAAAGTTTACAGAGCAAATTCACTTTCCATATAGCAGTTCACATACACTTTGTCTCACAACATTGACTACAATTTACCACAATGTAACAGCTCCCCCCAACTTCTTCCCGATAGTTACCTCTTCCCTGTGTCCATCCCTCCATGCACTCCTGCCCCCTGAAATGTCTACCTGTGAATAAACAGCCCTTCTTTCTCCCATGATTGTAAGGGAAACTATTAGCTATGTCTTTCTTTCTAAATTTCCAACATTTATGTTTATCTATAGAAGCGACTTTCCTATGATCTCATGAACCATTTTAATACTAAGTTTCATTTCCCTCAACATCTGCACTTAGGCAATACATACCAGCAAATAGATGCTATTTACTTTAATTCTTCACTACAAAAGTAATCTATAAATAGTGGAAGTTAATATTCAATGCAGAATACAACCTTTAAGGATTATTACAGTAACACTTTAACTCTACACAATCATTATCACGGTCATAGTAGCAAATACTTACTTGCTCCTCAGCCACAAGCAAAGGATGTGTAGATTCTTCACCTACTGAAGGTAGGCGTGCACTCCCCACTGAAGGGTGTCTGCTTGAAGGATGAGACGAGCCATCTCCAAATGAGGGATATCGGGGATATCCATTAGGTAAGTTCTGAGCAGCAAACCCTGGGGCTGAGAAGTTTTTGTTTATTTGTTTACGGAGAAAGGTAGGATATGGGGTGGGGAAAGAATGACAATCAAATCTGCACTGAGGGATTAAGGCAGGCATTTCTGGACAGATAGCATAAGTCAGGGCACAAATACTGCCCGCTCCATTTTCATACCTTAGATAATAGTGAGCATTTACTGTTTTCATATTTAAAATACTAAAAATGTTTATAGTTACAGCTAACTGTATTTTAAAATTGACAACCATTACATTTATATTAGCCAACAGTGACATTTAGTTTGTTAATAAAAACATGTCAATGAAAACAGGCACTTACTAGTAGGTGTTCGAGGTGTTCTGGGGACTTCCAATTCTGTCTGATGATTATTCCTTTCTACAACTGGCTCTTCTACGACATTTATACTATTATTTTGCATAATCTCTTGCAACATGTTGAATAATTCTTCTGCACGAGCACACTTAAAGGCAAAGATTCCTATAAATATAAACAGAAGGGGAAAATGGTTATTATTAAGCCTTCAAAAAAGCCACAGAAACACCTGTCAAAGAATAAACCTGCAAAGCAAGCATTGTGTGTACTATGAGCAAGGAAAGTCTTTTAAGTAAGTATCAATAAATGAATGATATTCCCAGGTTCAAAACATAAAACCCAAAAGGAAGTTCACAGAATAATGTGCATTTGTCTAAGAGTCCAAAACAAAGCCCACACAAACAAGGCTGCACACTACCGTGCTCTCCTTTCTCACAGCAGGGGAGCACAATTTGCCATTATCAAGGTGAGCACTTACCATTTCATAGGCCTTTTATTATGTGTTTTACAATGGTTATTTTGCTTAATTATCATAATAATTCTGAAAGACAGGTATTATTCTGGTTCACATAAAATAATTTGAAGTGCAGTAGAGGTCATGTAATTTGCCAACGTCATCTAGGTAGTAGGTAGCAAAGAATTAAACTAGGTTTGTTTGACTCCAGAAGTTTAGGCTCTTCCCCCCAAATCAAGGTATAACGTTAAAGACGTATAGTTAACTTACCAGGATTACTCATCTACTAGAAGTCTTAAAGTTAGCATGAGTCAAGATTCTTGACATAGAAAATATGCTTAATAAATATTTGTTAAATGTAATCCACTTATTTGGGAATTTTTTTATTTTAGGAGAAAATAAAAATATTAATTCAACTACTAAATTCACAGTAACCAGAAAAAAAAAATTAAATATGACAAAATCAGAGATTAAAAAATAAAGGTTCTACCTACCTTGTCCAGTTTGACACCTTCGACCGCTTTCAAAAGAGAAGAGATTTGAATCATAGCCATAGCGTCGCAGGCAGAGGTAGTGCCATTTTACCGAGTCACGTTTGCGGGTGTATAAAATCAATTCTGTGTCTGTAAGTTCCATTATGCCAGAACCTAACTCATTCCCATCATCATCCACATTAATGACCTAAAAAAAGAAAGTTTAATTAGTGCTAAGATAATTCCTCCACTTGATAGTCATCCAAATATTTCATTAATGCATCAGGAAAATGCATTGTTGCTCGTTGGTTCAGTTATTCACTCATTTGTTAGTTCATTCATCAAAGTGTATTTTACATGGATTATGCAGCAACGGTTCACATCTGCAAGGAACTCATATTCCTGCTGAGGAGTCAAGATATACAAACATAGAAAGTCAAGAGCACAAAACTGTATATGATCAACTGACAGATAAGTGTAATAGAGGCTGCAAAGGCAAAGAACTGTAGTTTAAAGCTACTGGAGAAGCCTTCATACAAGAGGAAAGACTCAGCTGGGCCTCAGGTATAGTTAAATTTAAATAGAAAATAAAAGGGCAAAGTTGGTTGGTAAGGAGTTGTAGGACACATCATAAAGATAAAAGCTAAGGCAGAAATGAAAGAAGGGACGCTTCAAACAAGATTGGTATAGATCATGTAAGGATGGGTTTTATATTGTAGAGGTTCAGAAACTGTCTAAAAACTAAGAATGATAGGTAACATTTATGGTGAACTTACTACGTGCCTGCAACTGAATGAAGTGCTTTACATGTATTTTTCTCATTTAATCCCCACACCAATCCTAGATGGCAGGAAACACTATTTCTCTACTGGTCAGAAACGGAACTAATTTGTGATAATGGAACCTATCAAAGGTCACAAAACTATGAAATAACAAGACTGTGACAAATTTAGATTTGTCTGATTTAGTGGCTATAATTTATAACAGATTGAGGTCAGATTACAGAACACACTAAGTAGCTTTGGATGAATAAGGAATAGACAGCAGTTAGTCTACAGATAGCAAAACACCTACAGAAGTATTAGTGAACAGTTAAATGCATGATGAAAGAGGAAGACGAAGTTTAAGACAACTGCAGGATGGATTACAGGGGTGACTGTAGGTAGGAACTAGTTAAGAGATTATCCAGGCTTGAAGTAATCAGGGCTTAGACTAGAAAGTAGTGACAGGACGGAAAAGACACCTTTAAAATGGCATTTTAGAGTAAGTATTACACAATTGTGTGGCTAACTGGATATAGAGGACCAAGGTAAAAGGAAAAGAGGCTATACTGTTATTACGAATGTATTTGTTGAAACATGAAAAGGCAGAGTAGGGAAAAAGAGAAATAAAGGGTATAGACATCCAAGTGAGGAGGTAAGCTATAGTCAGTGAAATAAAAGACGAACATCCAAGGAGGCAGTGAGACATATACATCAACTAGTTTTACTGACCTTAAACTTGTTCCGATGGTTATCTGGGACAGTGTCTTTATCTGGACAGCTACAACAGCTACCCATGGCTTCTTCAGAAGACCATGTGAGCTCTACATTAAAAAAAAAAAAAAAAGAAGTAATTTGGAAACAACTGTTAGATCTAGGATACAAAAATCATAAAACAGGAAAAGGAAATCATCTAACACACACCCTGTACCCCTCTTATGAGCTTATGAGGAAAAGAAAACCCAACAAGGTAGATGGCTTGTGTTAGATTTCACAGAACTAGATGGTGAATTTTGCTCAGTGACACTGACAATAAATTCTGTGACACAGCCTTCACAGAAGCCTCAAATTTTCAGTTTAATTAGCAAAGGTCTGCTGACCTAAAAATATCTAAAAAACAAAGCAATTTAACGCTTTATATATAATTCTATTTAAATAAAGTCACTCATGGAATTATTAGGAATTTCATGTCATTCATAAATTACCAAGGTTGGGGTGCTAGACTTCTGGCTTAACAGGTATTTTGATTTTTGTTATTTACTGTAGTATCTTTTAAGTACCCCATAAAATAGGAGTTCATTGGTAAATGAAACACATAAGCACACTTGGAATAGTATATTAGTAAGAAAGACAATTCAAATTCAAACACTAAAATAGCACATGGAATACTGTCAAACTGGTAAAGAATGTATCTTGGTTCTCTAGTGCTGCTACAACAGAACTACCACAAGTGGATGGCTTTAACAAACAGGCATTTATTCTCTCACAATTTAGGAGGCTACAAGTCCAAATTCAGAGTGCCAGCTCTAGGGGTTGAGTGAAGAGCCCTCCACCTTGGGCTTCAGCTCTGCCTCTTTGTTCCAGGCCCACTGGAGCAAGCTTGAGGCTTCTTCTGACTCGGGCAGCTGCAGACTGCTGAGGCTAGTGAACCCGAGGTCTGCAGGTAAAATGGCCTAAGGTCAGCTGGCAACACAGCAGACCATGAGTACAATCCCAAGATTGGAAGGCAACACGCAGGCCACTGGCATATATCTAGAAACTGGAGATGACTCAGCCAACCACAGGATCCAAATTTTGCCAAAAGCTAGAGACCTTTCTCAAAGCTTCTCAATATATACTAGAAGCAGGCCATACCCTGAAGACAGCTAAAAAGCTGCCAACAGCAGATTCCACATTGGAGTTGATTATACCACGTCCAATCTCATCATGGGGAATAACTGCATTCAACCATCAAGCTACTCAAAGCCATGGTCCAGCCAAGCTGACACACAACCTTAATTATCACAGAATGTCTACCTAATCCTTCTTTTCCATAGAAGGTTAGAGATTAGAGGTTATAGATAACTCTACAAACACTCGGGATGAATAAAAGGAAAAACCCAAAACATCACTTACAAATAAGGAAAAATACTAGAATGAATGTGACAATATTTGAAAAAGGAGGAGGCAAGAAAGCACAGGAAACCATTAAACATTAAAAACATAAATCTAGACTGAAACCTGTGGTTCTTCACCATCTTTAGGATAAAATTCAAAATTTATCAATATGACATAACTGGTATAAGTGACATATAAGGTCCTTCAAAGTCCACAGTTTTGCATAGTCAATGAAACATAGGTAACTATCTTTCTGGTACTGCTTGCTTTCAGTTAACAATATCTGAGATCAGCAATAACATTCTTCATTCTACATCCTCTTCTGAATCTAGCTTGCATTTCTGGAAGTTCTCTGTCAATATACTGCTGCAACCATTTCTGAATTATCTTCGGCACTGAATCTTGTCATGCTGAATGATCTGCGATTTTCCCAGAGTACCTCATTCTCTCACGTCCTTCACGCACGGCTCTCCTTTTGCTTCTTTCCTTTCTCAAGACTCAAGTCAGAGGGCAGTGCCTCCAGGAAGCCTCCCCTGACTTCAAATTAGGTTTCCCCCCAAATACCCAAGATATTCCAGCATCATACATCTATCATACTGTCTACTTAGTAGAAATTGTGATAGATTGCTTATTGATCTTCTTTCTTCCATTGTCACCTCCTTCACAGCAGGAATGGGTGTTATTCATGCCTGCACTCCCAGTGCCTAACACAATATCTATCACATAGTGGGTGTTCTAAACTTTGTCAAGTCAACTCCGACCCATGTGACCCCATGTACAACAGAATGAAACACTCTCAGGTCATGTGCTATTTTCATGATTGTTGGTATGCCTGAGTCCAATGCTGTGTCCACTGTGTTTCAGAACCTTCTCACTCAGGCGGGCTCATCTTCTAGCATTATATAAGACAATATTCTGTGATGATCCATACAGTTTTCATTGGCTAATTTCAGAATTACATTGCCATACCTTTCTTCTAGTCTTAGTCTGGAAGCTCTGTTGAAACTAGTCCATTATGGGTGACCCTACTAGTATCTGAAATACAGTGGTATAGTTTTCAGCATCATAGCAACAAGCAAGCCACAACAGTATGACAATCTGACAGACATGTAGTATATAAATGAAAAGAAAAGATTAAAAAAAAAAAAAAAAATTAAAGTTAAGCCTCATGTTATTTGGTATTTTGCTCTAATATGCCAGCCAGGTTCAGACACAGTCTGCACCTTTGAAGAGCCATAGTTTGAAAGGAAGAGACAGACATGTAAACAGTTATTTATAATGCTGGGTGGTACAAATGGTTAAGCAGTCAGCTACTAGAAGTTGGTGGTTTAATCCCACTCAGAGGCATCTTAGAAGACAGACCTCGTGATCTTCTTCCAAAAGGTCACAGTCTTAATGAAAACCCTATGGGGCAGTTCTTCTTTGCACAGAGAGTGGGCATGAGTTGGAACTGACTCAAAAGCAACTAACAACAACAACAAATGATAAAATTTACTATTAGAACTATTAGTGTGCACAGGGAGAAACTAACTTTCAGTTAGGTATAGTTCATTTAGTCATAGTCTCTATTGGAGCTGGGACTTAAAAGGTGATCAGAAACAGTATGCTAGGCAAAAAATAGAATTAGACACTTGTGACAGAAAAAGAGTATGTGCAGAGACAAAAGTTATGAAAGGTCACAGTGCACTAAGAAGAAAGTGAGGCGTGCAGTTTGACTGGAGTTCAGAGTAGGCATATATATACACAGCTATGTGCGTGCATGCACATATATTCATATATAATAAACCACATACAGGACATAGTTGCAGATACTTTTTAGAGACAACCAAACACCTTGTAAGGCTGGTTTTCTGGGTCTGAAGGCACAGGACCATAGTTTCATAGGACAACTCAGTTAACTGACATAGTACAGTTCATAAAGTACATGTTCCACATCACAATATGGTGAGTAGTGCTTGGCTACCACTACTAACCATTCTGTGATCAGGGCCACAATAGAAAAATACTGATAGAATGGGAGAAAAATGTGGAACAGAGCCCAAATTCTTAAGAAGTCCACACGTAAGGAGCTCTGGTGGCGTAGTGCCTAAAGCATATGACTGCTAACCAGAAGGCTGGCTGTTCAAATCCACCAGCCACTCCTCAAAAGGAAGGTTGGGCAATCTATTTCCGTATTGATTCCACCTCGAAAACCCAACAAGGGGTCACTATGAGTTGGGTCCGACTCAACAGGCATGCGTTTTTAGTGTGACTGGACCAGTGGAGGTTAGAGGACTCCCTTTGACTACTGTCCTGAGATATTCTGTAACTTTAAAATGAAATTATCTCTTGAGGTCACCTTTTAGCTAAATAACAGATTGGCTCATAAAATGAAGACTATCAGTTGAGAGTAATGAACTCCTCTAAAAAATCATCTGAGTTCAAATAGTCAAAATTACTCTAAAACAAAGATTAGAAGGTAAGAGGCCAGGGAAAGTAGAATACTTGAAATGGTACAATCAAAACAGAACGAATGAGAATGATGACCCATCACTGAATACCATGTGTAGAAACTGTTAAATGGGAACATAATTTGTTATATATACTTTCACCAAATACACAATAAAATTATTTTATTATTTTGTTTTGTGTCTTTCCACAATGTCAGGCTTATTAATACATAAGAATATCCACAAACTAGGGTGGCTGCCTCCACACATGAAGGACTTATGCAAGAGAAGGTAAACAGAGTTAGTACTTATCAGCCAGCATCAGGGATGAGCTTGTGTGGATGATCTCAATATCTGCAGTTCTTGTGATGTAATTTGTAGTGTGTAGTGACACTCTCTTCAACTTGGTCATGGCAATACTGATGTTTACTCTATTAGACTCCACGGAACGAAGCTTAGTAGAATAGAACCAGCACCAGGTTACTCAAGACAAGCTGCTGCTGCTGATCAATCCCTGGTACTGGGAGTCTCTAGAAAGTGCCAGCTACTACCCACACTGGCCACCGACGGCCTTACCTTAACCTCACTGACACCTTGGGCACTCCGAGCAGATTGAGTACCATGCTGCAAATGTATGGGTTCTGAGTGAGATCACTCTTGAGACTGCCTGCCTCGAGATGGAGTCTCCTCCATGAGACCTGGGTATGGTCTCGAGATAGTAAGAAACAACAGAGCATTAGCCACTCCACTGAGGGAGTGAGACTCTCGCTCCTGCGATGGCTCTGGTATTGCTCCAAGCTAATAAAATATTATTTAAAAAGGAAAAAAAAAAAAGATGCCTCCAGTGTTCTCACAGTAGAATGGGCATAACTCTTTCATGACATTTATCATATTCTATCGTAATGTTAAGACCCTGGTGGCACTATAGTTAAGCATTCGCTCAGTGGCTCCGCAGGAGAAAAGATCTGGTGGACTGCTACCATAAAGATTACTGCCTAGGAAACCTTATGGGCAGTTCTACTCTGTCATACAGGGTCACTATAATTTAGAACTGACCCAATGGCACACAATCACACTGTGTTTATCTGTCGGCATCATTCACTTCACGGTGATCTCTCTGAAGACAGTGACTCTGTCTTCTTCAATTTTTAGGGCACTAAGTATATGGTTTAAAATAGCACAAGCTCTATAAATGTTTAATAAATGAATGACTTATAGAATTATAGGAAGCAAAAGAATAAATAATAAAGATTAAAAAAAAAGAAGAAGCTGAGGGA